TCCTGCTCATAAGATCTACCATCCAGAATAGTTGGTATTCGCAAAGAGACACAACCAGACAATGGCAAGCATAAGAAGAGGTAACAAAGTGAAAAACAGCCAGTAAAAAGAAAAAAAAAAAGGAGAACGTTCTATTTTGCAGTTGATTAGTGCAAGTATATTGTCTGAAATTCGTTATTCTAAAGAAGCAACATCCAGACTTTGAAAAAAAATATACAGATCCCATCCACTCAGAGAGTAGATTAGGACATTGGTAGCTACTTGGTGGAACAGCGGAGGCCACCCCTGTGCTGCACTCCACCATGGATGACTACCCAATGTTCGGTATGGTGGCCCTCTTCATTCTTTTGGGGCCACTGTACAACCTCTTCTTCCCCCTTGGCTTCGGGAGGGTGTGCTCCTCCCATATGATGATGAGATCAGGCAAGATGAAGCAAGGGCTGTCTGCGGCAGAACAGGCAGAAGTGGATCGCCGCATGGCAGAGAAGCAGAAAGAGAAGGAACTAAGAAAGAAACAGAAAGAAGAAGAGGTAAAGAAAATGAAAGAAGAAAGAGAAAAATTAAAGAAAGAAATGAAGGAAAAAGAAAGAAAGCTGCAAGAAGAGTTGAAGACAGTGGAAGAAGAAGAAGAAGAAGAAGAAGAAGAAGTAGAATCAGAGGATGGTGAGAGACTGCACAGACGCCAGACATAAAGAGGGGAGTCCAGCAAGATTGGTGGCATCTCAATTTAGCTGGAAGCCATGAATTGGCTAGATCAGTTTGGATATAGGACCCCCATATATGTTGAATCGGAGGAGGACAAGAATGCCTTTGTTGCACTGTTGGCTGCAACAGAAGAAAGTAGAATTAAATAATAAAATGGTGGCAGCGAAGAGGCAAAAATTTGAAGAAAAGAAAAGACTGAAAGAAGAGGGGGAGAATTTTCAAAGGCAATTACAAGAACAAAAGGAGCAGCCACCTGCCTCCGATGATCAATTCTCCCTCCTCACTGACACCCTCCTCCATACCAACAAACAAGTCGCTGCGTTAATAAAGATGTGCAGAAACTCGAAAACCATCAATTTGAATTTGAAGGGGTTTGGAACAACTTCCTGCAAAGGTCAGCACAGGAAGTTGATAGACATATAATAACTTGCGTAGAGAAGCTGGATGAACAACTGGCCAAGAGATTGGCAGATCCAGCCGTGGCCAAGAAAATATTAGGTGGTGGCGAAGGAGATGGAGGAGATGGAGACAAAAAAAAAAAGAGAGACCAAGAGGCGGAATCAGGGGAAATTGGAAATAATTCAGTGCCATGGACATACACAGGTAAAAAAGAAGAAAGCGTTTTGCATCGGATTGCAGCAGCAGAATCCTATGTCTATGGACAACGCATTCCGTATTGGGACCGGGTCCTCATGGCCAGTTCATGTATGGCCGGAGATGCCATGAGTTTTGCAATCTCCTTGCAAAAGGAAGCAGGTTGTGTCTCCATGGTACAAAATCTCAGCAAACACGGATTGAAGACTTTTTCAAAGCAATCCGGGAGAGGTTCGAAGATAAGAATTTAGCCCGGAGAACTGAGATGTTAATTGTAAATATTGCAGATAGGAAATGGAAGAGTACATCTGCACTTAAGGCTACCATAAATTAATTTCTACAATGCATTGAATATGGTCTCACCCCGACGCAGATTTTGAACAATTTTGCTAGCGCACTACCCGATCCACTCCGTACTCAACTTTATCCCCGTACCAAGGAAGAGGGAATGACATACGAGAAGTTCAGCAAGATCACGATAGATCATGCTGGTCTTTTGGCTGAAGCTAACTATTGTCATTATTGGAAAGATCTACAGGCAGGTAAGAAGTGGCAGAATCGAACAATTTCAGGAAGTATGTTTGGGAAAGACAACCTTCTTCTGACTTTTGAAGGAGGTGTTGAGACTCTCTCCTATGGCCAGATAGACTATGGTCTGGAGGGAACACCCAACGGATCGGCAGTTCAGGAGGCGGACTACGCGGCCGTTTGCAGCCCGCGGGGGAGGGCGACAAGGAAGAGACCGCGGCCAATGAAGAGGTGGCCGCGGACGTGTAGGAAGAGGATCCGACACCGAGAGGGGTGGTGTCGAAGGTAGCTGCTACGCGGGTGGAAGGGGCAATGGTCCCTCACAAGGTGGCCGAGGTTCCAACTCCACATGGGGTAGAGGAAGAGGCACGTGGTATGGGAACTGGGACATACCATATCCACCCCATCCCGGCTTGCCGGAAGGAGGCCATGGGAGAAATTGGGGACCACAGAAAAGGTCTGGCAGGACAGGAAAGCAGTCGGACAATGCCTCAAATGTGGTGATCATGACCACATAGTGCCCTATTGTCCAGAATACAAAATACCAAAAGGGAATAGCCAGTAGAGGTCTCAGTTGCCTCTACAGGAACTTCGGATGTAGACAAACAGACATCCTCTCATCTGAAGGTTCCCTTGGCAGAAACTGAAGAGGAAGGTGTCCCCACCTAGTTAGTTGTCCAAAGATGGTTAGTGTGTGTACCTCTCTAGGTGGATCCTTTGCTGGCATGGGTGATGAGTTGGCCACTCGTCACAAAGCCTGGACCGAAATGAAGAAATGAAAAAGACAGTTAATAATTGCATTTAGAAGTTAACAGGGTAAGAGTTGGTGGAATGATTGACAATGGGTCAACACGCAACTATATAAGTAAGAAAGGTTTGCAAAAGTTGCGTCTCAGGCTAAAGGTAAAACAATTAGATGAGCTCGTAGTAAGTAAATTAGTGAATAGTAGCAAGATTGTGATGGATAGATATGTTGAGGGGATCCACACATACTTTCGGCTCGAAGCAGAGGGGAAGGTAGAACGCGTTCTCCACTCTCAGACTCTCTTGGTGGAAGATAGTCTCCCTTTCGACATTCTTCTAGGCACAGATTGGCGAGAAGCTGCAAATGCGGATGTGAAGTTAAGGGACCATGAATGTTGGCTCCCTAGTCCGTAGGGTGGAAAGAAGAAAATCCGCCTGTTCCATGAATATGGTAAGGAAAGAAACTTAGCTCATTGTTGTATGAGTGCCCCCGCGTTCGCTCGTGATATAAAGAGATACAATTTGTTTGACGAAGTATTTGTGGCATATGTGCGCGCAATGAAGGAAGGGGAAGTTAAGGAGGTTAAATCCCCAGAAGTTGAAAAGATTTTGAAAGAGTTCGTAGATGTGGCAGAGGCCCCAAGCGGTGTGGTAGAACGACCAATCAAGCATCGGATTGAAATTATTCCTGGAAGTCGGATTCTGAAGGGCCCGATTTATAAAATGTCACCAAAAGAATTGGATGAACTGCGAACCCAGCTAGACGAAATGTTGGAAAAGGGATGGATCAGACCTAGTTCCTCGCCCTATGGTGCGCCAACGCTATTTGTGCCAAAGAAAGATGGCGGGGTCTGCATGTGTATTGATTATAGAAGATTGAATGTCATAACTATTAAAAATGCTGAGCCATTACCCATAATTGATGATTTGATGGATAGGGTTCAAGGTAGCAAGTACTTCATGAAAATTGACTTGAAGTCTGGCTACCATCAAATTGAGATAGAACCAGAAGACCAATATAAGACTGCCTTTCGCACTAGATATGGGCACTATGAACTCATTGTGTTGCCCTTTGGTCTTACTAACGCACCTGGAACTTTTCAGCGAACAATGAATGAGCATTTTCGTGAACGGCTTGATAAATTTGTAGTTATATATGTGGACGATATCCTGATTTTTAGTAAATGAGCATTGTGAGCACCTTCGACTTGTGTAAATAAATTGCGTGAAACAAACTGAAACTGAACCCCAAGAAGTATGAGTGGGCAAAGCGTCAGGTATTATATCTAGGGCATGTACTGGATGGATGAGTGGGCAAAGCGTCAGGTATTATATCTAGGGCATGTACTGGATGGAGACGGTATCAAACCGGAAGATGCAAAGATTGCAGCTATTCGAGATTGGCCCAACCCACGTACTCTAACAGAACTACCATCGTTCCTTGGGTTGGCTAATTACTACCGTAAATTCGTAAGGTAGGTTACGATGATTGCTGCTCCCCTTCGCAGACTATTAAAAAAGGAAACCATCTGGAAGTGGGATCAAGACTGTATGTCTTCATTTAAGCGCCTAAAGAAATGCTTGATTAACTATCCGGTTTTAAAAGTTGTTGATCCTTCTTTGACCTTTGTAGTCACTGTCGATGCAAGTCAGTACGGGATAAGCACTATACTCCAGCAAGATGATGGAAATGGATACAAACCTTTCAAATTTATGTCTCGACGACTGCCTAGTGAGAAGGTCGCTGCTTCCGCATATGAAAGAGAACTGTACGCACTCCGGGAAGCTTTGGACCATTGGCGTCATTATCTCCTAGGTCGCCAGCTCAAAGTGTACTCAGATCATGAGACACTACTCAGATCATGAGACACTTCGGTGGCTGAAAATGCAGGCTCGAATGACTCCTAAACGGACTGGGTGGGCTGCGGAAATCGATCAATATGACTTTGAACTAAAGTCAGTAAAGGGTAAGTATAATGTTGTTGCTGACACATTGAGTCGAAGATCTGACTTTTTCAGTGCCATTGTGACATACTTAGACGTAGGCGCCGATATCCAAGATAAGATTATGAATGCTTATTCCACTGATCCTGTTTATCGCGCTATGCTGAAACGTGTTCAAGAAGCACCACAAGAGTTTCCTAACTATCGAGTAACTCAAGGACTGTTGTTTGAAAGAATTGATGTGTATGATAGGCTCTGTATTCCAAACAAAGAAGAGAGAAAAAGTGTGATCTTGGGGGAATGCCATGATACCGAGGGCCATTTCGGGTGGAAGAAGACCTATGCTAACCTCTTGCGTTCCTACACCTGACCTCGAATGAGACCTGACTGCATTGCGTATGTGCAAGGCTGTCAAGTGTGTCAACGAAACAAAAGCACCATACAGCCTCCCCTTGGTCTACTGAAGCCTTTGCCTATCCCAACAGGCCCTAGAGACTCTGTGTCTATAGATTTCATGGACACTAAAGTGAAAAGCAGGAATGGGAAAAGCCAAGTTATGGTAATTGTTGATAGGTTCAGCAAGTTTGCTGTTTTTGTAGCATTACCTGCGGAAGCTAAAACTGACTTAGTAATTCGAGAATTCTTCAAGCACTGGGTAGAGGACTACGGTCATCCCTTGACTATTGTTAGTGACAGAGACTCTCGGTTCACCAATGAACAATGGCAGCAACTAATGAGTGTCTATGGCTCTAAGCTGACGATGTCGCCGGGCCGACACCCTGAGACAAATGGGCAGACTGAGCAAATGAATAAGCTCTTGCAGCAGACGCTGCGTATGTACATTCGTCCCGACCAGATTGACTGGGATGAACATTTGCCCAAAGTTGCTAGTGTCTACAACAACTCTATGCACTTAACTACTTGCAGAACTCCGATGGAGTTGCATTTGGGATGGAATCCCCGCAGACCTATAGACTGTCTGAACCCGGATAGAGCACATAAACTTTCGCCAGGGACTAGAGAGCTCGCAATGCAATATCAGAAAGATTTGGAAAAGGTAAAGGAGAACATAATAAAAGCGCAGCATCAAATGATTGAACAGGCCAATAATCACAGAAGACGTTCTCAGTTTGCTGTAGGCGGTCTGGTTTGGGTAAAATCAAAGGAGTTTATCCGAGAAGAGAACATATCTCAGAAGTTGTTACCCACCTACAGAGGACCGTGGCAAGTATTGGATGTGATAGGGGATGTGGATGGACCCTCCTATGTTATTGAGATCCCACCGCACTTGCATACCTACCCAGTGTTCCATGCATCAAAGCTCCTACCTTGCGTAACTAGCGAACTATTCCCGAATCGAAGATCAGCAACTCCCCCAAGTATGGATGGGAAATTTGATGTTGACAGGATTATTGTTGAAAGTACTCTTCAGACCGGACGTAGAGGTAGACCACAGCGACAATACCAAGTCAGATTTGCATATCAAGATCCAAGTGAACACCGCTGGTACACTAGAGAAGAGCTAATTGAATCTGCACCTGACATAGTAACGTACTGTGAACGAGCAAGGGAAGGTGTCAATGTTGTGGACATATAAGATTTTCTCAGAGGACCTGGAAATTAGGCCGGCGAGAGTAAAAGGGCCTTTACGATTTAGACCCGTAAATGTGACCCCAGCAAAAGGGGCCCTCTCGGCCAGAACTCAATTTCACAAGCAACATTCCAAAAGACAAACTCCTGAGTTATATGTCGCATCCAGAATGAAGTGAAGAGTCTTTTTGAACAGCTAGACGAACAGGTACTGAACACAGACTTCAAGGCTGAGATAGAGTCATGTCTGTTTGACAATAAGTCATGTCTGTTAGGCAATAAGTCAAAGGCCACGGTCCCAGTCCAGTCACAGTCCCAAGGGTCAGTCCTGATTCAGACCAGGAGTCCAAAAGACAGGCCAACGTCCAAAAGCAACAGCAGACCATGGGAAAAGATACTGGGACACACACTTTGTAACAACAGGTACTGGGCAGGAGTCCCAGACCCTGGAGGCCGAGTTCAGACCTCGCTAGACCAGTCCGACGCTATAAAGGACTGGCCAGCCTCCTCACTGGGAAGATGCTCATCTCGCATGAGAGTGGAAGTGTCATGGCACTTGTGCGCCAGATGTGTGTGAGCTGTGCTAGGCCGGAGAGCTGTGCTAGGCTGGAGAGCAGCGCTATGTGAGAGGGAAGAAGAGAGCGCTGGCTGGAGGGAAGGCAGCCATAGCTGCGCCAGCACTAGTTAGTATATTAGTAGGGTTAGTCGGCAGGAGACACCAGTGAGTATCATTCAGAGTAGATCCTCATGTGATAGGGAGTGTGCATGCATGATGAGTGTGAGTAGACCAGGATTGTAGACAGAGAGGGAGAGAAGAAAGACAAGGAGGTGAAGAGAGAGAAGAGAGCTATGGTGATACTTACCTGTTGAGCGTCGGTCTTGGTGATTGTTGGCTAGTGCTGATGAGCGCCTGGCCTGGAGCTAGGTTCCCCTTAGCTCTCGTGCTGTCTTCCACCGATGATTGTCTTCAGACCAGAGGTGCCTCACTTGCCATATGCTGTGCTAGAGCTAGGTTCCCCACTTAAGAGTCATTTGCTGTAAGCGTCTGGGGTTTCCCCTGTGCGTCCTTGAGTCATGGGTTACAGAAAAGCGGCTGCCTTAGGACTTCCTCCCTTGTGTTTCGTTCCCCTTACCTTAGCAGGGTATATTTCCAACCACAAGTTCAAGAGTTGTCTAATACGAGCCTGACCTGGCCCCTGCCTCTTCTCCCCCTCCTCCTCTTTCCTTCCTTTCCTGGCCCAGCACTTACGTGTTAGCCAAAAGGTTCCCTCCATTCCGTATTGGGAGGAATTCTATACTTGGCCAGTTTTCTGATATGTTCCATGGCGAGTGGTACCCACGGTAGCTCGGGGTGCATAATAAGCAAGCTTGAGGATCCATTTTGTTTGGAGAGACTTCAATTGCTGTTCTGGATCCAGTATGCCCAGCCCCCCCTGTTCCTTGGATCTGACGACTTGTCTCCACGCTACCTTAGAGATGAAGTGCTGCTTTTACCTACCTGCAATGCTTCGGTACCCGACTTCTACCGACCTATGACGAATCGACCTCTAGACCCTAGGACGTGACCTACTGGGACAAGCCTGGGACCAGGACCAATTGGGACTCTGGGACCAGTGATTGGGACTGACAGCGAGAAGTCCTTTCAAAGCACACCGGTCTTTGCTGTTTTTTAATTAAGTGTGAATCTCTTGTGAGGAATGTGTCCTCACGGGCCCCTGGGCAACATGCATATGTTTTGGACTGTGGCCCCAACAATCCTCGTGGCTGCTCTTAAGTGAAGGCGGGCCTGAATATCCACGAGAGGCCCTTATCTCAATATTTTTCAATGTGGGTATCAGAGAGTTGCCGCACGTCAGTTGTTTGAAGTGCAACTCGGGCCTCACCCTTGGCTCTATCCTGAAGCAGCAGTTGCGTCAAGCAGTTGAGCCCAGGACGCAGGTGGTTGCGCCCTGGGCGCAGTGTGAGGCCGACACAGCACGAAGTGGCTGCGGGCCAATGAGAAAGCAGCGTTGTCGTCACACATACCCGCGGGCCAATGTAAGCACAACAAACACTTGGAGCCTGGAAAATGCTGGGTGTGCCCAACTGCAAAGGCCAGGCTCTCAACTGTAGACTTGGGCCTGGGCGCAGACACTAGGGCCCGACCGAAAGCTATTGGAAACTTCTTCGGCCAGGCCCAGTGAGGCAAGCAGAGGGCATTGACTCCCATATAAGGAGAAGGCCAGCCAAGAAAGGGCATTCAGGCCTTAGCAGGCAACACAGATACACTGCTTCGCTACAGGGCTGGCATCTGCGTTAGCTGGCTGGGCGTGTGCACACACGAGCGCGGAGGTGAGGGGCGCGCAGCAGCCATAGCCGGACTGCAGGGGCACGCTGAAGGTGGTCTTCGGGTAGGATGCACATGAGGTGTGGGGTCCAAGGGGTGATGTGGGGGGAGGAGAGAACATACCTGGTGTATGTGGGAGGTCGGCATTGGTGTTGACGTCGTGTACATTGGTCTTCGACGATGAAGTGAGCCTGTTGCACGAACGTAGATAGGATAGGTAGGCAGAGTAGAGTAGGCTGGGCGCTGGGCGCCATGCAGTAGGAGCGACATTGGATACTGCGTTGGTGTGGCCTGAGGGCTTGGACATTGGCTCACGAGTTCATTGTATCGCTCTTATTTGGATGGAATCTTGGTGCATTTGAGTTGTCTGCTGTGTACATGACTATCTGGACTTCTGTGTGATTGTGCAACTTGGTTTTCTGTCTATCGCTCTCGCTCATATTCCTTGCAATTTAGTATCAGAGCTGGTTCGACCGCCATGACTTGGCGTTAGCGACATTGTTACTTGGTGCTCTGACGAAGCTTCTGTGCAGTAAGGATGCATTGGCGCTTGCATGTATGGGCGACACCCGGGAAGAGGGTTGAGTCACCGGAAGGTTGTGGCGACAACGTGGGAGCTGTGGCAACAACGGATGTATGTATGATGATGAGAGCATGCTGATGTGGCATTTTGGCTGAGGTGGCACTGCATTGTGTTGTGGGTGGTACTGAAGCTACGACCGGTCATCGAAATGCACACTGGCTCAATTGGTGAGGAATTTGTCGTTGGTTACCTTATCTTCCCTCCCAATCTCTTCTTACCGTGAGGAAGTGAGTCCAACCTTGAGTGTCCTCTTTTGAGAAAGGACTCATGAGCGCTCTACCTTGAGAGACGACATTCTTCCCGGTGGCGTATCTCGCAGGAGAGGGGGTTGCCTTTGAAGGGCCCTGGTCAAACCACGGGTCACGGTCACCATGTCAACCCATGGGAGTAGTACATCTAGGCCACTTTGTCCTTCTTTGTTGTGCTAATAGAGGGATCGTGGACTGACCAGTCCTTTGCAGACGCTCACTAGACAGTCTGTAAGTATTTCTGGCGAGGATCTGAATTGTACACTGGCTGTGATCATCGTCCTGTCTCTGACGTTAAATAATTCCTGAGGACCTTGGGGGCTGTCCTTAAACTGCCTCTTGATCAGCCAGATCAGTCAGACGTAAGGCTCGTTGCATGCGATGGTAAATAAAGGGCAGTACTGGTCATAAGCGAGTTCCTGGGCATAGGGGTAGGCCGTTAATGCACACCTTAGTGCCTGCTGCTCGATGATGCGGACAGGTACGTTAGAAATAGGGGAAGGAAGATTCCATTTGGTGCTCAATTACAGACAACTATTTCCATTGTGCATACATTTGCTCACATTATTTATTCTTATTTTGATTAGTTGGTGGACAGACTGCTAACACCTAACAGACATTATTTATTCTTATTTTGATTAGTTGGTGGACAGACTGCTAACACCTAACAGACAGTTTAGACTAGAACTGTAGTGTTTTTATTTGTTTTTCAACCCAGTCAGACACATGTTGTGGTAGGCCCCAGTGAGGGCACTAGTGTAGACAGTGAACGGCCTAGCTGATGAACGAAAGAGGAAGTGAGGAAGGAGAAGCTGACTATAGGAGACAAACACGGCGGGAGACACGTAGATTTCCGATAGTGTTTCAGGTTTTGCTACCAGGGGACGAAAGAAGGTTCAGGGCCGAAGCAAGGGGCTGACATTTGCAAACCGCTAGGGAGGCAGCAGCAGCTGCAGAGCATGCTTTAGCGGAGGCAGCAGCAAGTGCTGAAGCGAAGGCTACTTCAGCAGCGACCTCCCAAGGTCAGCAGACGTCATGAACTTGCGCCATGTCCTTTGTCTTAACTAGTGGGACAAATGCAGGACCCTCCACAAGTCAGATGGCTGGTTCACAGTACAGACGGTCACCACCTCCACCCACTAGAGAGGAGTTAGAACTCCAACAGGTAGAGCTACTCCGCGTTCAGTTAGAGAAGCAACTTAGGGGAGCTACTATAAGTCAGGATCATATAAAAAACCGCAACGCCAGATTGGAGACCAGATAGGCAGACAAGGCTGCATTGGAAGAGGGTAGACGATTCGACCTTGGATGATCTAGGAAAGATCTTCCGGTCTAACCTGTTAAACATGAATGAGTATCTTGACAGTCGACTAGATGAAATCCTGTCAACCCTTGAGCAGATACTGAGAGCAGTGCAGGGAAGGGGAGGACCACTACCCTCCATACCTAGCGGGCCAAGCATCATGACGCAGCCAGTCTATACATCGTCGGTTCCTTTACCAGCGATATCAGCCCCCTTTGTTCTACAATTTGGTGGTACGTCAGCAGCAGGAACGCAGGCTGTAGCTTCTTCGTCTTCAAGTCCAGCTGCTGCAGCTTCAAGGCAGCAGACGATGCACTTGGTATCCAAAGACCCCAATGAAACCCCTGACTGTCTTCGCAGGAGACAAGAAAGATGAGGCCCTCGACACTTGGTTGTGGACGGTTCCATTGTGGATAAGGGCCAAGCGCACGCTGCGCGAGGATGAGGTGATCACTGTCGCTTCTTACTTAGAAGCGTCGGCAACAAGATGGTTGAATGGGTATATAGCAACAAAGGGCTTTGCCAAGCGAATGAACGACTGGCGTAGACCTAGGCTTTAGAAAGCTTTATGGACTTGATTGAGGCACGATGGCACAACCCTCA